TAGCCCTTAATAGGACCCCTAGTAGGGGAGGGGCAGTACCCAACCGAAACCCCAAACCCTAAACCCTAAACCCTAAACCCCTCAACCCCTAAACCCTAAACCCTTAACCAACCTAAACCCCAAACCCTGGGGACAAGGGAAGATCAATCAGCTTTAGCTCCTTCTCGGCTTGTCGTTCGCGGCGCTCTTGGTCAGGAAGCTTCCTTGCCAGCTGCCAGCTACTAGCTTCGTCAGGCTTTAGGGTTTAGGGTTGAGGGTTTAGGGTTTAGGGCTGAGGGTTTAGGGTTTAGGGTTGAGAACAGACTGCACCGCATCGAAGAGATCAAGATCCATGCTCACCACAAGTAACTAGGTGGTCCATGCATCCGAGCAGCAGCAGGTTCATCTCTGCGAGGGAACTTGTCTGCATGAGACCTTCCTGAGCACCAGGGTTCCAATGCGACCGCCCCAAGCGCCTTTTAATACCCCTATGTTATACCCCTATATAGTAGTTTCCATTTTGTTTTTCCATTATCCATATACAAACCCAAACCCCAAACCCTAAACCCTAAACCCTGATCCCTACACCCTAAACCCTGATCCCTAAACCCTAAACTCTAATCTCTATACATATATATATATACCTAAACCCTAAACCCTAAATATATATTTACATATATAACCCCTACATATGCAGCGGACGCAGCTGACGCACCTTCTCCTCGCGCTGCTTCAGGCGCTCCTTCTCGCGCTCTTCGCGCTCGCGGGCGCGCCTTGGTGCCATATCAGTGAATATTGAAGTAATATTGGCAATTGGGGTTTTATTGGGTTCAGGGTTTAGGGTTTAGGATATTGGGGTAATATTGGGGTAATGTTGGGATACTGGAAAAGAAAATGGGAAATACTATAGTATCATAGGGCATATATTGGGGTTACGGTTACTACTGGGAGCTGCAAAAGCTGTCTTGCAGCTGCGTCAGAGCACTGGGGTCCCAACTCCTCTTCTCGCCTCTTGCGCTCCTTCTCGCGCTCTTCACGCTCTCGCTGGCCTCAGGAGAGAAGTGCTCGCAAGGTGCAAAAGGGAGAAAGGCCCAAAGATCTCCCGAGGTGAAGACGCTCGCGCTCCCTCTCGATCTCTTCTTGAAGCAGGAAGTCCTGCACAATGCTGAGAGGGGCAGAAGCCTTGGAGGAAGGCGCAAGAAAGTCAGAGGAAGGGCTACTTGCATGGCAATCAAGCGATTCCCCTTTTCTGTGGCAGGGTTTGAGGCTCACTCAGGAAAATCCCTGCATCTCTTCCTTCTCCTGTCTTGCAGCTGCACGCTGTTGTTGACGCTCTTTGGTGACCAGAATCCTCTTGACCCTTCTGGCGTTCCAATCCCTATGCTCTTCCCAGCAATCCCAAACAACCTCACCGGTCTGGGGGATGTAGACCTGTCCCTTATGCCCGCCACGGCTTGCAGCCTTATTGTCGGTGGCCGCTCGGGTGAAGGTATGGCTCGATTCCACCGGCTGAGCGACAAACAAGGGCGCCACCCGCTCTTCTTTGAAGATCACGCGTGCACCCCCAACAACCTTGATGCCATCGCTCTCGCGATGAGTGAAAATCTGATAGGCCGGCTTTGGGACCAGGTTTGCTGGTGCTGAAACCACGGGCTTGTGATGGTTCTTGTGACCGCCCACCCTGCGTGGGGGGGCGGCCGTAGCGTCTGCGGCAGCAGGCGCAGGGCGGGGCTCGGCGTCGGGGTCCACCACTCCACAGATCAGCATGTCCTTGGTATCTGCAAAACCTCGGGAAAGCCAGACATTTCCGGGCATTCCTGTGTAGATCCCAACCCCATGGGCTGAGCCATTGGCAACCCGAACACCGCTGGCTGCTGAAGGCACTCGGAGCCCTTGGCTCAGGATGGAAGGGATGTTCACAGCCCTGGTGCCATGATATCCATAGTCTGGAGCACCGTGCCTGTCGCATTCTTGTAAGAACTTCTCTTGCACGGCTGGTGCGACGTCTGCTGGAACAAACCTGTAGCCCCTGCCCAGCTCTTGCTGCAGACTTGGCCCATACTGCTCCAGAAACTGTCCGCGCATCGTCTCGAAGCGGCTGGGCCTTGAATCTTGCGGCTTGCAAGGTTTATCCGGCTCATCGCCCCACTCCTCTCGTGCTGCAGCTTCTGCCTCGGCCACTGCCCGCTCCTTGACCTTGATCTCCGCCTCACCTGGGATCCGCCTCCGAAGAATCGCCTCGTCCACGCGCCACCGGGTGCGGGGCGGGGTGGCCCAGCGCTGCCAGTTGGGCTCCTTCGAACGCGAGTCCGGCTCGCAGACGTCTGCAGCGACCCCAACGCTCGCATGGGCAGCCGCCTCTCTCTCATCCCAGAGGTCCGTCTCTGTCCGATCCATTCCACCAGCATTCGTTGCCATCGCCCGGGAAAGGCCAAGTGCCCTGGCAGCCGGGGCAGCCTGGACCACCACATTGCTCCGATACACGGGCACGGAGGGCACGGATGGCACGGATTGCACTGCCACGGGAGTGCTTACTGCTTTCATCATCTTCGGCGCAGGGCTCTGCGACACCTCAGTCTCCATCTGACGTGCCAGCTGCCCACTGCTTTTCAGCTCCGCAGCTTTGGGGGGTGCCAGCTTCAGCGCCGCAGCAAGGTCATCAGCGTTTTCGACCAGCTCGGAAAGGTTGCATGCGCCTTGCTCTGATGCCCAGCGCCTCACGGCAAGGTAGTAAGTCTCCAAGCCCAGGGCCTGCAGAAACTTGGCCAAACCAGGAACCGGCCCTTCACCCTCCACAGCTTCTAGACCCTTCAGAGCCACTCCAGGCCCCACTGGTCCCACGGTGCTGTAGCGAACCATGGGAACCGATGGGGCTCGCAGAAGTCTCAGTCCATGCACCGTCTGCGGAACTTGGCTTGCATGGGACAATGTGCGCTGGCATGGCTGGGGTTGGTAGGGTGGAGCTGAAGCGTAGAAAACCACTGGGGCCCTGCCGCCCTGCCGCCCACCACCCCTTGAGGGTGGTTGGAACAGCATGTCAACTAATCTCGGCGGCCGGCGACCATCTACTTGAAATCACTTAAATGTCTTCAGCCAAAGCTCTAGCGGTGCTCACAGCTGCATCAAAACCAAGGCGGCATCTGAGCTACTGTCTAAACTCCCAGTATCCCCCTTAATATCCCCAATAGTCCCCCCCCTTACATAGCCCCCTTTAAAGAAGCTTAGACCCTAACCCCTAATCCCTAAACCCTATATAGTCCCCAAAATGCCCCCTTTTAGGAGTTTAGACCCTAAACCCTAAACCATATATAGTCCCCTAAATAGCCCCTTCAAGGGAGTTTAGACTACAGCTCATCTGGTGTCCTTTCGTCGCTTCGAGGCCTCCTCTGCCTGGCAGTCCCAAAGCAGAGCAAGGGTTAGGGTTTAGGGTTAAGGGTTAAGGTTCAGGGTTCAGGGTTTAGGGTTAAGGGTTTAGGGTTACCCCTTGGGTCACGCCCTGTCCTTTTTGCAGAGTTATATTGGGGTCATATGGGCTTATGGGGCTTCATAAATAAAATATATGTCTGTATATATACATATGTATACATATATACATTGAGAGAGAGAGAGAGAGAGATAGAGAGAGAGAGATAGATTGAGACAGACATGGCGATATAGATATTTACATAAATATATATATATATATCTGTGGATTTAGAGCCCTGCCCTAGACTTCGTTGAGTTGAACATCTACAAACATCGGCCCAACCTTCTTTTTCTGCTCTGCCTTCTGCTTGTCTTGCTCTTTCGCAGCGTTCCTCGACATCGCCACGCGGGGCTTGAAGGAGGTTTCGTCAGGTCCGGCTTAACAGTCAATGAAAGTTAAGTACCTGTCCGAAATTAGTACCTTCAGTGAAAGGACGCCAGAAAAGTGATGACTTAGAGACATCCCCTTATCCTCATGATGTTCCTTGATAGTCTTCATGTTGACCCTAACTTCCCATGTCTTTCATGGGGCATGGTCCAAGGTGCGCGCAAGCTGCCGATCAAACCCAATACCCCCTCCTACATACTATTGGTAAGGTTCCCACCCCTCGAAGGGCATGTGTCAGGTTGTCTATATGCTTACAAACACACATACAGACATACATGCAGACCCCCAAACCCTAAACCCCCTAAACCCTAAACCCCCTAAACCATAAACCCTAAAGATACCTTCACGCACTCTTTCTGTCTGCTACAGGGAAGGGCCCGGACTGAGGCCCCGGCTTCTCGCGGTCCCCCTTGGACATAAACTTCAGCTTTGGGACCTGGCGCTAGAGCATGAGGGTCTTTTTGCAAAGAGTGTAGGGTTTAGGGGGTTTAG